GCAAATGGGAGATACTATGAGTCTGGTCATTTTAATTTTTAATTTAATCATATTCAATATACGTACCAAAATTTCTAATTTTTATTAGGAGAAAATAGGGAAAACAGACGTAGAGACTTTTTAAACTATTAGGTTTATTGAAACTTAAAAAAATATGAATATGTACCGTTATTGATATAAAGAAAATCAAAAAGTTATACAACAAAATAAACATGCTGATTTATCTCATATTGAAGCTTAATAAAGCTTTATATGTAGAAATCCATTACTTTCTGACATAGTGTTTTAATTTGCTAAGATTTATGATGCAATTTAAATAAAACAAAGACTTACACGATTAGATTGGGTTATGTTTCTCTCATTCTGTAGCGCCATTGTATTGCCAATAGGTGTAAATAATGGTATAATGACATCAATATGTGTCGCCGAAGACATAAGAACACTAACACAGACTAATAATTATTCTGCGATTGATTTATTAAACAGTCATTGGTTGGTACATTAAGCGCATTCTGCATTCTAAAGGATGACTAGTAGTAGGCACGCTTGAAATAATGAGAATTGAAGTTTTTATTCTCTATTCAATGATGATGATGATGATGTTCTCCTAGCCGATTCCGGCTACGGCGGCCAATCTCATTGAGATTAGCCAACTGCGCAGGAGATATTATAGTGCTCAAGTGTACGCGCAGACACAAGTGCACTCTCTATTCCTATCACTCTCATACTCCGGTGGGACGACCACTCGACACGACCGGTGAGAGTTGAGGCGCAGGACCGACGGCTTTACGTGCTCTCCGAGGCACGGGGGTGAAACACCGCCAACTTCCCAACTCCGGGCTGTTACTGAGACTTACTATACAGAAAGTCTCAATAACTAAACTTGGCCCGACCCGGGACTCGAACCCAGGACCTCCGGGTGTGCAGCCGTACATGCTAGCCACTACACCACCGAGGCAGTCTCTATTCAATTATTTTCATATGGACATAATACGATAACATTTAAATAAAATCCCTCATAATAAATTATGAAGGATCGTAGAATGTAAGCTTAAGAAATTTTTTGCTAAAATTTCATATAAATTGACGAAATTTTTACCTATTATATAATATATTTAAAATGTAAGAAATAAATACAGTAGTAATAAAATCACGTTTAGCTAATTTCTATCAAATGCAAATACTTAGCACATTATTATGAATCTATTGGAAACAATTATTAACAAATTACAACCCCTATAATTCTACAGCCGGCTGCTGCCGGCACCCGCCACTTTATGTCCTAGAACCAACGTTCTTCGTGACGATTGTAATTAAAAGTATAATATTCATTATCTCGAATGCTAAGCAGAGTCACCAAATATTTTCTTTTTTTTTCATATAATGAGTATAATAAACACTACGGTCGTTTTGTTCGTGCCTTTTTTGATTTATTTATTTATAAAATGATCTTTTTTCCTTTAACTCTCTATAAACCAATTAAAGTATATAATTTGTAAATAAACAGGGGTTTATTTTTATCAAAAGTGTTTTTAAGTAATTAAAAATGGAACAACCTTTATTTATTTACATTGTCCTTTTTATCTCACTGAAGATTGTAGTCTGAATCATGTGAAGAAGTTCATATTAATTCAAGTCACTTCCAAATTAATCGCTTAAACAATTAGCAAAATAATATAATAATCTATACATATAATAAAATTGTAACTAAGCCGAATCTGTACATTAAACACTTTTTGGTAAATCTTATTGAAATAGACATTATTATCGATACAGAGGCCGAATCTATAGTTTTTAGAATTTTTGTCTGTGTGTCTGTTACCGCATCACAGAAAAACCACTAGAGGGATTTTGATGAAATTTGGTATGATGATAGCTGGTTATCCGGGTCAAAATATAGGATATTTGTTACCGCGGGGAAATATCTCATTTTTGAGAATAAATACAAAAACTACAATGTAAGAGTATACTAGTATGTAAAACCTAAGAATTTGGTTTTTGGTCATCTGAACGCGGGCGGAGCCGCGGGCAATGCTAGTATTTAATATTATTATAACTATTATATATTAATATAAATATCATAAACGAAAGTGCATAATATTTAACACCATTCAGACAAAGAAAGACAATAGCATTCCCAAGGAGGGTTGACGTCAGGCAGGCGGCCGGTCGTAAAACTTTTGCCAAATCCAGTCAGCAGTACACTGAAGATGTACTGTGCCGACCCCAAGTGATTTGGGAAATGGGCAGGGAGAAGAAGAAGAAACGAAGTGGCTAATTCGTGAATGATAAATATTTATTTTAAATTAAAATTAATCGACGTTTTTAAGAGGATAACATCACCTTTAGGTCGAAAGAATAAAACAAACAATTGTATTAGTGTTACTATACTAATCCATACTAATATTATAAATGTGAAAGTGTATTTGTTTGTTTGTTTGTCTGTCCTTCTTTCACGTCGAAACAGAGTGACGGATAGGCGTGATTTTTGTGTGGAGATAGGTAGAAGACTGGAGAACGACATAGGCTACTTCTAACCGCAGGAGATTACCTCATTTCTACGGGAAAACACGTTATAATATAACTCAAAACAACTCATTATATCGAGTATCATACCTATGTATATATGTATATAGACTATCTATTCAATACTAACCGTTAAAACGTGCGTAACGTACGTCTCTATTATTATTATAGTTGTAGGTAGTAGTGTAGTAAATCATTTTCAGTGATTGATTTCAGGTGCTTTATTGAGTTCATACAATTTATATATATAACGATTGAGTTCATACAATTTATATATAAAGTTTATATTTATAACGAGCTTCAATACAAAACAGCAGTGAACACCCTGCTGGGCAAGAAGTGTGAACATTTAATTAGTGAGTATCGCTGGTTGGGGGACAACCCTAGTATAGTATAAAGTATTTGTCTATTGATATTTCTTTTTTTTTTTAATATAAGTAAGTAGTTTAACAGAATAATCTAAGTACCTAATAACTACTTAATTACAGTTAATAAATATAAAAATAAAACATTTTATTTAGATATATTTTTTTATTTATTAAGCTATATTTAGATATATGAGATTTTAATTAACATATTTTTCTATTTTATAATATGATTTGAAAGTCTTGTAATCTACTGTTATATATATGCTTTTAAACCGTAGGCGCAACTTTTGACGTATTAAATTTAACACCTTAATATCACCGCCTTAACGGAACCTAAACAAATACGTTACGTAAACTATTTTACGAGGCTGTGTCAAATTGTGAGAAATGTCTTTATTTGTGAGCAAACTCCCACATGCAGCTAGTGAGCATATGTTAAATACAAAAAAAAGATATCATATATATAATTTAAAATATAGTCTACAAGATTGATTTTCAGAATGTAGCGTCATCGTTAATTGTGATATAAATAAAACTATGACATAATTATTGTTAATGTTTAAAATTATTGTTAACTTCTTCTATATTCATAAAATATATTAAATGTATGAAAAATAGCGGTAATTATTTTCTTGCAACATAATAATTATGTATACGGACTTTTACTTCAATTGAAATTAACAATATTTTCTAATTAAATATTACCCTAGTAATATTTTCTATTTTTAAATAGACAGAGAATATATTTGTATAATTTAATGATAACACACATTTCTACAAGTACACTTGCTGCATGTACCCAGGCAGAGTCAAATATTGGACACCTTCCAATAATACAGTAGTAGTCCATTTATCTCCTAAAAGTACCTATTCCGTGTATTATTAAGAGTGATTCACTTTAAAAACCGGACAAAATAATTTTAAGTCATAGATCTTATACGCAGAGCAGATACTGTGTCAACATTCTAAATATTAATATTTTAAAAGATAACATATACATATATTTATTTATTGAAAAGATATTTTTATTGAATGAATTGGATAGGAATACTTATATTTTAAAAACCATCATAGATTATTATCTAAGTATATATCACGTAAACAACATTTTAGGTTTTCGATATATATAAAGCTTTTAAAGCTTCTAATAATATCACCTAAGTATACAATAACAAAACCAAGAATAATATTATTTCTTCTCGATGCCAAGTGCATTTACTATGCAAATCTTATTTGAGAAAATCTTTTCAACATCCCGGCGCCATAGGACATTTTACATTCATATATTATAGCAACCAGGTCTCTACATTATTTTGTATACCTACATCAAATATTGTAATTTTTATTAATACCTATGTATATGTATGCTATCAATATTCTTTTCTACCGTGATGTGATGCATAAGGTATTTTTTGATTTAGTCTACATATTTTTGCGGTTACAAAATTGCTATATGTATATAACATAGAAATTAAAAGAATTTGTCAAGCTAAGAAAGATAACACTATAATGCAATATGATATAATTAAGCAAACAATAACTATAATTGTCAGCGAAGTAATAAATAGATCTTATAAATTGAACTGTATTGTTACATTATCTTACTAAGTGTATATTTAAATACCTTCTCTTAGTGCGTTCAAACAATAACTTTCACTTGCGTAAATGCAACTTATGCAAACTTTAAGATTAGATAACAAAGGGTTTTTGACCTTACAATTAGTTACATTAATACATTCATTGATAAAAATATAAGCGCAAAAATACTTGTCTCCAAATAAAATGAAGTTATTTTCAATGAAAAATCGTAAAGTATGAAGTAATTTTACTTTTATCAAAGAAAACAAAATTATAGAATCACGATATCAATATCACACCGATTACATATATTACAAATATTTCTTGGAACGTATCAATAGCTCTACATTCCTGATAAGGGCAACGTTCTTCTGATATCAAGATATTAAAATTGAAGACATGATTTTTATTATTTTAACATCCAGAGAAACAAATCCACGCAGTAATATTGTACACATGTCAGGAAGCGACCTTCACATATGACATCATAGTTATTTATTATTCAAAATTATGTTTTTTTTAACTCACCAACTAGTTTTTTCGCCGCCGCTGCCGACAGTTAGATGTTCAGCAACAGAAAATCCAAAATAAGAACCTGGCTCGCCGAACTTTATCACAGGAATCCGCGGTTCTAAGTTGAAACTGGCGACACAGTGTAATATACACAAAAATAAGACACCGCTACACAACATTTTAGTGGCTATCGTTGGGTTCGTCAATTAATCGTTTTACAAATTATTTTATCGCACCAAGTCACAAACTATATGTATTTATTTGGCACATCGCGATTTTCATGCGAGTAGAATTAGCCGCAAAGGCAACGAGACCCCCAGCGCGTTTGACGTTCGCCGGCCGAGTATTCACGCTTACGGCACAACTTGAATTTGTGTTGACTCTACGTAGACATAACATGTCCTACTCTACGTTTGAACGTAGAGTTCACGCGGCAGATCGCTCGGCGGAGACGATTGAACTCATAAAATTTCAAACGTCTACTTTGTACAGCGCCATCTTGTTGATATATGCAAAATAATATATAAAATACAGCTACTGCCATCTACGTTTCATTTAAATGTTTGTACAATTTTTAGTCTTTCTTGAAAAAGTCAACCACTTTGACAATGCAGATCATAAAGTTATCGACAGAGGACTCGACTCAGACATTATATTCTAGACTATCTCTTTGCTCCGCGAACTTAAATCTATTAAACAATAAATTTCCTTGACGCATTAAAAATCACTTATATCTTTGATTTTACTATTTTTATCCTATTTCAATTTAGCTGGAGTAAAGCAAGCTCTAAGGAAAAACAGTATTTGCCAAAGAAAAATTAGTTCAATTATTCGTAAGTAGATGGCGTTATATACATAGATTTGTTATTAATGATTAAAATTAATAAAAGAAAAGAATAGATCCTAAAGTGACATATTCGGGAAGTATAAATAAATTGTTTTTTGCAATCCAATCTTTCCGTAATTTTACTGATTATTAGATATTAAAAATCTGACAAGTGCAAGTCTAACTCGAACACCTAAGGTTCGGTTCACATTTATTTTTACGATGTTCATTTTATTTACATAAATAAGTTTGTATTTCTTAATACTACTTTGAGAAACAAAGTTAACTTTGCGGCCAAACATGTGAACACAATCGTCTAGCGATTCACATGAGACACCTACCTACTAAATTTCAGCAATGTAGCTCTAGTAGTCATCGAGTGAAATGGCTTTTTAACACACGGTCCACAGATCACATATTTCTTACTATTATAAATACGGCCAGATGGTCCTGGGTTCCACTAGCCATTCCAGTCAGCCAAATTGCGTAGTAAGGTTCTTCTAGTTATTTATAGATGGCGCTGTTATGTGTCGTTTACTGCGGGTAAAAACGGTTACGGTTACGGGTAAATTTATAATATCTTACATTTTTTATAAGTATTTATAAAACGGTGTAACGGTCTATGGATCACTGCTATCTGTTTAAGTCTATTTTGGAATACAAAAGTAATAGGTACCAACAGTCATTTTTAATGGCTGTGCTATTTGTTAAATAAATCTAAAATAGATGGCGCTGTAAAAATTACATCACTAGCTTTGTTTAAGTGAAAGTGAAATTCTACTAACCTTATAAAGGTGAATTTTTTTGATGAGAAAATGCTTATACGATTGTTACTTAATGCCATGTAATATATTGAATAGAATTAGACTTAACTATATAAATAAACTAGCAGAACCCGCGGTGGCTTCGCTCGCGCTAAATCTACAAAAAAACTCTAACAAGGTAGTTTCATACAAACTTTCATCCCCTATTTACCCCTCTATAGTATGAATTTCGAAAAATGCTAAAATATGTATTTATTTAATTTTATTAAAGAGCATTAATGCCAAGTTTCAAGTAATTCTGAGCATAAATAATTTTTTGGATTGTATCATAGCGTGTTTTCCCGTGGGAAATTAGATTATCTCCTGCGGTAAAAAGTAGCCTATATCACTTTCCAGCCCTCTTACTATCTCCACACAAAAAATTACTCTAATCCGTTTCGACGTAACAGAAGGACAAAAAGACAAACATACTTTTACATTTATAATATCAAGTATGGATTATAATTGAAAAGTGATATGAAACCTCTATTTCACAGAGTCGCTTTTAATATTAAAGATTGGAATGAAAACAAAATTGACTTCGTTCTAATTGTTTTAATATTATACTGACACTGAATAGTTAGTGTATATAAAGTTATTTCAATTAATATAGGACAACAATTTTGTTAAAAATTGGTGTGTGATATGAGAAATAAGAAACATAAGGCGTTCTTTACTAAGCGTGCCTTAACAGATTTAAGACGCTCTCAGAACCGCCTTGCTCGCTCAGCGCCGCACATTGGGGTACCGTTGGGGTTGCGTACCCATAACCCCCTGACTCTTTCCGATGACACTTGACGGGCGTGATTTATACTTCCCGCTGTCTACAGCATGAGCTGAGACCGACATATAGAATTTTTATGTTTTTATACATTTCCTGGTTATTATTTCCAATAAATTTTGTCCAAATTACACGTATTTTCATTTAAATCGATCGGTCGGAATAAATTCTATAAATACATTATAAAGTCACGTGTAAGTCGTGAGTTACACCGAATAGAAAGGAGCGAAAACGGCGATTTCAGTTATTCTGCGCAGTGCCCTATCCTAGCGACCTCGCCCAACCCTGACGCAAAGTCAAGATTAAAATTGTGAGCTGAATATTAAAACCTAAATAATGACATTAGATTTATGTTTCTAAGACTAATAGTTTTGTAATTATTAAGGTAAGATGATATAAATGATTTCGTTACGGTCCACTTTTTTGACCTGGTGTGATATTAAAGACGTTTCACGTCAAAATCTTGATAATATATAAAATACAAAAATGGCCTAACCCACATTTATTTTTGAAAAATAGTTATAAGACGTCTATAACAAACTTAGTTCACAAGAAAATAAGCTAAAAACGCAAAATAAACTTAAATACTCAAGTTAGTACTAAACAAAAAACTATAAGTAAGTTTTAAAAGTGAAAATATTTAACAGCCATTTTCTCTAAAGCAGCTGCCAGTGGGTTAGGCTAATTTTGCGGTGACAGCCTCAATTTTAGTATTTGCCGATAGATTTTCGATTCTGAGTAAATATAATTATATTATTTTATAATGAGTAAAACACAATAAAACGTCAAGAAATATTACAATTATTTATTTTAAGTAAAAAATAGAACAGTTCATTTAACAAAAATAAATTAAATGATATTTCACAAAATGTAGAGAAGCCATTACTTTACATAAAATGACTTGATCAAGTCTTTTACTACTCTCTCCAACATGTTTTATATCTATAAATAACATCAGATTAACTGTTAATGAAATAAATAAGAATACTGATATAATAAATGTAACTAAATAGAGCTTCTCTACCACAAAATTCAGATGTGAGAAAGATAGGACTCTTGGGAAAGTGGGTGTTGACATTACAATTCCAGTCCTTTGCAGATCTATATGAATGATCTCTAACCAAGCCGTCGATGTTTTCAGTTCATATAATCCATTCAAAAAGCCGCAAAGAATCTACAACCAAAAATCCAGCAGCAACGATACTTTCATATTTGACCTTTCATTGGTTGCAAACTCGTGTAAGAATCGGTTGACATTTGACGGAGCCTATGTCGCGCCAGGTAAGTATTTTTGGTGCTACAATACAATTTTATAAGCAATATTTGCTGTTACATGTATTGTACTACCATTCGGGTCTCGTGAGCTATTTAGGGCATGGGATGGAATGTAAGCTCAGTTTGTGAGTGAGCGAACAGCAAGTTAAGTTGGGAATCCAAACCAACGTTAAATACTTTCAATAACTTAGCAGTCGTTTGACCAGGTTCTTTGCGCACGACTGCCGTTCCCGAAACTTTCATGAGATGCACTTCAGAATCAACCGAACCTCCTCCTGTCGTTGCCAGTTTCACGTGGCAAGTGACATCTACTTGGATATATTTTTCAACAGCTTTTCCTTTTTTCCCCGGAACATCAACATATTCTGTTTTCTCTTCGATTTGAGGAAGATCAGCCCTAAAGACACTTGCTTCGCCTAGCAGTCCCTAAAACAAATAAATACAAAATTAAAACACATGAACATTTGTGCCATCACAAAAGGCAAGATTTATAATGGAACAATTGGCTTTTATCCAAAATTTACTTTATAAATAATTATTCTACTGCCAAAAATGTGTACAAGTAGTAAAAGCTCACATGCCTTCATAAGATATAAACAATTGCACTCGAGAATGTATCTAACCAACCGATAATTTTTTTGGCATCTTTCCTAATTACAAATATGAGTACTTACTCCATTCCCAGTAATAGTGAACTTCATATTAGGGTGGACAGCACGCGGCTCCATTCCCAAGCCCTCGGGATGAGAATCAGACCAGAAATAGTTTTCTGGTGCATTTAAAGTATCGGGCTTGAAGGTGATACGTTTTCCATAACCCATACCAATAGACTGCAATAATAAGCTACGGCCTTCAAATAAATGGCGACGACTTGTCGCCGGTCTCACTCTGTAGTAGAAGCCAGGAATAATACGAGAATCAACGAAGGTGCCTAAAAGATTATAAAAATATAAATACATGATTTTAATTGTATATTGTCTAAAAGATGCAAATATTTTCTAAATCCAAACTTACCAATAACAGGCAGTTCATATCGTTCAAGACCGACAACGGTGTATTGGCAAGGTATATCTTTTATATCCGATCCGTTTACAGTTATTCTCCTGGAGGAAGACTTAATGCCAGGCTTCAATTCATAGCCTTTCTTTAGTTGCTTGATACCAATAGCGACATTAACAATTCTTACAACAGCTGCATTTCCTCTACCTTTCTTCAAGATCGCGACACCAGTAACTGGCACTAATTTGGTAATTCCATCATTTTCATACCATTCCACTTTGCACAGTGTGTTAATCTTCACTTTCTTCTCAATGGATCCATCTTCACAAATTTTTTGATCAATCTCAATTTGATTTTTCTGTGACAAAAAAGTAACAATATTTACATAAACTCAATAACTTTAAAAGGTATCGAAAATTTCAGTACTCGCATAGTTTTGGCCTTACCTGCTGCTGTACAATTTCTAATATTCCCTGTGGTTCATGGTTAGCATCATAAATAGTAAATTTGTCGCCAATGGAAACAGCTTCGATTTCAAACACAAATCCTTCTGGACGAGAGTCGGTCCAAAAGTAGTTGTTATTTTCATTCAAAGACGAATTATGAGGCTCAAATGTTAGCCTTCGGGCAAATCCACGCCCAATTGATTGCAGGAGAAGAGCCTTGGCGTCGAACAAGTACCGTGGCTTCACCGATAGTGGAGGAGCGTCCAAAGTCTGAAACATTTCAAAATATGATATATACGTTGCTCCGGGAAAGGAAGTAAAAACTATGTCTTATCACTGTATACTTAGATATTCATTTAGAGATAAATGCTAATATTCTGTAAGTAATGATATTTGAACAGTACTTTGTTATGTTTAAATTTTGATATTTACTATTTATTTCATTGTATCATAATTTTTAATATAATATATTTATTAATAAATAGAAATATGTTAATTAACTGATTCTGAAATATGTAAGCGAAATCCCAATGTGTTGAATATGAATCCTTAAATATTATGGGGACCAAAATATGACAATGGCATGGAGCCCTTATGAATGATACTTATGGTTTACCTATATGCTTTACATGCTGCCGGCCAAAATTTCAGTTCGACCGTCGAGTCTCAGCGAGCGTTCTTGAGGTTTGTATTGTGAGCGCCTCTCTGGGCGTAGGTCTGAAAAACTGGACGATCCACATACCATCGCCTACAACGGCACACAACCAGTGGCAAACACAGGCAAGTCAACAGTGTTGATCGTTGATGATATTTTCATTCTGTAAATTTCAGCAACGGACACTGCCACTCACTGTCTAACCCCACTAACCTAATATATCCCAATCACTTGAACCACTGAAACTGGCTAGTACTCTTTACGAATTGAATTCAGACTAAATAGTTTTATATCATACAAAATTAACAGTTTTTGATATGAGTACAAGCACTATGTTAATAACGGAATCTTTTAACATTCTAATGTAAGATTGCCATTAAATTATATATTTTTTTTGCAAATTAACCTTAAAAAACTTTTCCAAGTCGAGATCAGAACTTTCAAAGAACAGTTCATTTATAAAATTAAATGAATGCTAAATGGTTATTCAGTATTCCACAAACTATATGACAACCTTACTTTTTATTGTGCAATATATAATATTAAATTAAAACCACTGCCGCTTAGACTGAAGTATTTAAACAAAACTGTGCGAAGATTCTTAAATTATATATTAAATTAGTACTATGAAAATTAATATGTACTAAGAAAATAATGGAAAGTTTGTAGGAATTTATACAACAAACAATAAGAATTTTCGCTTAGTTAGATATAAGACATTTTCGCAAGATTATACCGAAGAAGAACTCACCATCCTCCTATATTCTGAAAAATTCATCTTGCAAAAATATCCTCGAAATTTACAAATAAAATTATTCAGATAATATACATAGGTATTACACCAATTAATTTAATTGCAAAATAATAAAATCCAACATCAGCAAAAACATTCATGAATAGTGGGATCTATTGAACACAATGCTATGTTAAAAGAAAACCGTTTATGTTAAGTTCCGAATTCAATCCTATAATTAAATTTAAATTACATATGTATAACCGTTTCTTTCGTGGTTCAAAAGAAAATTTTGCCCTCAACTAATATGGATCTTCGTAGTTTTTCTGTTTGGTTTCATGTCGATTTTTATCACATTGATGGTACATAAGCTGAGTTTTATAACATTTGACGAATCAATGATCAAGCCACATAGAAGAAAATGCATTAAAAAATCGTTACAAATAATGAAAATTTAATTTGAACCCAACTACGAAATAACCATAAACTGTAATGCGGAAGATTGCTGTGTATTATTTTATTTTTAGCCGAGCAATCAACGACACTTCTAATTATGATTATAAAATGCAACGATTTCTTAAAATAGCAACGTGATTGCGATGAATATTTTAAACGGATTTAATTGAATTTCTCATCTCACCTGCATCGGTCTTATTTTGTATCTGAAGCCAGTCCTGACTCGAGGGTCGATGTAGACGCCGATAACAGGCATTTGATGAGGCGCTGGCGCCGGCACGCGGTACACGGCTGGTACATCTCCAAGAGTGCTTGCATCTAAAAGGACTTCTTTTTCATAAGCACTGTCGACCCACAAAGGCCGAGTTGTAATTTCGGACTTTTCCTGCAAAGAATAGTTAATCGTAATTTTTTATGATTTTCAATACCAAATAATGCAATACGATGTCAGGAAACGTTATTTCTTACCCCTATCAGGTTTATCTTTATTAAACATTCGCAACAGATATAGTCACACCTCTGACAAGTTAGAGTTTTTAACATATTACTTTAGGGAGAGGCCAAATAAAAATGTGACTACTCTGCGAGCTGCTCCCAAAGAGAATAAGGGAAGTTAAAAATATCAACTTATGAACCTATGTCTAGAGAGAAGTTGGCACAATATATTTTGTTATAATTTACTGCGACACAATGTTTTCAACAACTGTGCCAAAGTTAAGTCATCAATACGAAACTGAACATCACAGTATATGAATGACAATTACAAAAACAATTCATACAAAAAATAAAAGTACTCTTTAATAACATGAATGAAAGAAAGCTTTTAGTCGTATCACGTATGCATAGATGATTTGATGCTATTATTTTGTCAATATCGTCACGATCGACCATGAAACTTTTGGCAATAAAGTGGCTAGATTAATTGTTGTTGTTTGTTGTTGACGTGTGTGTTTTTTAAATATATGAAGGACATTCGAGAACTATTCGCGTGTGGTGAAGTGCTATAATTTCAGTACCTACGCATATATAATATGATTCCACAAACTGTCCTAGTTTTACCTTTTCAAAAATTTAAAGATTTTTGGACAAAGCGTATTACTCTGTTCAAGAGTTTCTTGTTGATGGAAATGTGTGGAATTAAGATATATTGACTCATATGCGGGCTATCTTTTATATTAGGTATGTTTATTAATGTAACTTCTATATTTAAAGGAGCAACTGTTGAGTTCTGAACAGAACTGCTTTCCGAGCCGGCAGTAGCTACCTCACAGACTGACAACACTGATGTTCTTTAAATTAAATTGAGGATTCAAAAGTGCTTATAATAAGTCCATTTGAATAAAGTTTTATTTCATTTCCTACCAACAACATCACTAACTAACTGCCTTAATAAAAATCTATTTGCGCGTCTACTAATGAAATTCAATTGACGTGATTTATCTCGATCAAAGTCCGAGTAAAAGTATGTAAAATCTATTCTTATATTTCCTGCAAACAGTTTTTTCGTTGATGTTTACCAATTTAGTACACCCACGCTTAACTCCATTGAGAAAGAACAACAAAATTATAAAATCAAGAGTATGAAAAATATAGGAAGCGTCTAAAATAAATATATGTATTTAATTTTCCTCATTAATTATTCTAATTCAAAATATAGCAGAAACCCTAGCACGTTTTTATAAACAATGTGATTGACCTTACTACTTTAATTAATTAATGAGCAGTGAAGCGCCTCAAATACTGTGTCAATAAGAAGCCAACAGACAGATTTTTTGTACGAGATAACTTCGATTGTATTAAAATAACAATGAAGTTATCGCACGGAAACTTTACTCAATTTTGAATCTATACGCAGGGGGTCAGCCAATGATGTAAGTATAGTCAGATAAATAAAGTTCTGTGGGTGTGGTGAGGCATGATGTTCACGTTTTATAAATAGGGCAGCAGCGTGCCAAAATTGCGTAAATATTTCCAATACAAAACAGATATTTACCGACATAATAATTTATTTATTTTAATAAAAATAAACTCGGCTTTTAGCTTCGATATACATACATATAATAGGTATGTATAATACATTTTTTCTAACTTAGCGTAGCTTTAATATAATATTTATTAATAAAAAGCCTTAACTAACATTTATAACGATTGTATACTTACATGGAGTTCTAATTCAGGAAAAGCTTCTTCACCATCACTTTCATAGTCACTAGGAACTGGTATGCAGCTTTTTGGTGTCACATCTAGTTCCTGCAACAAATAAAGCCTTCAATTTCATTACGTTTTTTTTAATAAGCTAAACTAGAAGTAATTGCAAATAATATAGTAATTTAGTTTTTGATGACCTACATATATCGGTTTATTACTATAATGGATTGATGGATGGTACATAATCTTGACTTAGATACACAATGTAGTAAAGATGTCATGTTATGAGGTGAATCCGAGACTATCTGTGAAGATAACGGTCATTTATGATAGCAGAAGCAGGTCAAATTAATAAAAGCATGCCAGCCCTTGACTTCATAAACGTGAAGCTTTTAAGGACTTTAGTAATGCTGAAAGATATGTATTAAGCATTCCGTTATGTTTGCTCATAAGGCTTAAGGGCAGGGTTTGAACGAGGTCAACATGACCTGTGTTATATACTATCCAAAATAACTGTACAATATGTACCAAAACCAATCTAAAGGAAACGAGAAATACCTGTCATATAATGACAAATAAACTGATAAAATTTAATTGGTTTATTAAATAAACTACTCGGTAAATAACAAATACGACGCGTATAACGAGCCACTATCTCCTGAATACATAATGTGGAAAAATAAAAAAACATAAATAACAGATATATATAAAAATATACTTTCATTTTTAATTGGCTTATAAAAATGGTTTAAATCGTTTAAATGAAAGATGGCCGCGAAAAAATATTTAACTGGGTTATCAATACATAATATGTAAATAGGCAAAGACAAAACAGTTCAGTGCCTCTGTATGTAACCGTTTTTTTTGTTTAGTATTTAGTAGCTTTTGACGAGCTTTAGTGTTTTTATAATATATAGATAGGTAAATTCCTGCCATATTGTGTTTTCCTTAACTTTTTAATAATTATTATGGTCGAATTTCTATTAGTGGGCGTTAAAATATTACATGAGATATGTAAATACCTGAGCTGAAGGCAAAGTTTCAACTAAAGCTGGTTCCTCATCCAAAGCAGTAGAAGTACCGGCGAGGCGGGCACGAGTGAGGTTCCAGAGACGACGTAATGCTAATGGAGCCTCCTCGACTTGCAGTTCCATGGATGGACTAGACATCATTTTTGCTGCTTTCTTTTTTTACCTGTTGGCAATGTTATTCTATTCATAATTTTCCTTTAATTAAAATAACCTTGGATTACTTTCTAAAAGACTAGTTGGTGCCAAAGATTTTAAACCGAACTCTTTTAATAAAATATTAATGTCGTTATCTGCTCGTCGGCTAAACACTTAAATATGCACATAAGTTACAAAAAGAAACAAGTCTAAATATAGTATCAAGGAAATTATATGCTCGACTTGGCATCGAAATCGACTTAACAATTCATCCGCAAAATCTATTTATAAAAATAATATATAATTCATATTTTTCAAAAAAGTTAAAAATCTCTCCATGTTCAAGAATGGAAAAAACCGAAAAAGCTTATGACATAAAAACTTTTAACGAAGTTAAGCTAATATGAGTCAAAATACGAGTAGCAGATAACGATACGAACTTAGAATTGATAACAGTAAATGACTCAGAGAAATAATAATAAAGAAACAATAATATTTTTTTTACTTTTAAAAGTAATAAAATAAGTATGACTTTTTGCTTTAACTACTTTTTTAACCTTATTTACTAAGGTTGTTTGAACAACTGTGAGTGGCAATCGTTGCTGATGGTCACGTTAACTATTGTTATAGACATGGTAAGTTAATCCCTAATGGAATTATTTATGGAATTTTCCTAAAAAGTAAATTTAAAAAGCAAAGGTGACATCAACAACTATCGAGTATTTTTTTATGATTTAAACAATAAATGACGAGCTGAAGTAACCAGAAAGGGCTTCTACCTGTATAAAATGTGCCCAAAACTTTATGAAACACGATAAGACAAGTTCGGGGGAAGAGCCACAAAAACTAGACCTCGCAGCCTTGCTTTGTGACCATATGGGAGTACAAACAGGTAATTCGTACTTAAAAGAAATAAAGATAAGAAAATTCCCGATATTCAGAGTATGGTGTAATACGCCTGGTATACCTACGTTAGACTTGGTTAAACAGATAGTTTCCAGACAGTAGATTTGCAAAACTTATGCTCCGAACATAAAGTGAAATATTAGCCCCATACTTTGAATAAACTGTTTAATTATTTCAAAGTTGTATTTATTTTAAAAATCCAGAAAAATTTTTTTTATAAAACCATAAAAAAATAAAATATTCTGGAAACAAGATATTATGATTTTATTTATTTGAAATAAAAATCACGCAAAGTTCAAAAAAATATTATCGTTATGTAACTAAAAAGAAATATTCATTTTAAAGATAATTTGCTTACTTATAAGCATGAAAAAGTGTTATAAAATCTAAGCGAGTCAAACGAGCGAAGAGAAAGCGCTTAGCCAATGCATCTATGTCAGCCATTTGCTGTGCACGTTGCGGTACCATTTGCCAGAAATTTCTTTTATTTCTCAACATTCTCTGTTCATCCTTTATAAAAAATATTGATATACACTTTTCTTTTTATAAACTTCATGTTCAATTTTTATTCAATCAGTACAAATACTTACCGATGAAATTAAAATTCAGGAAAAATCTCTCGAATCTCGATTTCTCTGCCACTTTATGGTCAAGAATAAGTTTCAATAGAAATCTGTAATAAAAATGTTTGCGACACAATTGCAAACGTCTGTCACGATGAAGCTAGGCGACTGTCCTGAAGCACAACTCGAACGCGACTGAGGGTTAACGCTATAACTGAGGTATTTTAAAACTTGAATAATCGGTCCTCCCCAGTCGATGCTTACAAGAGAAGAGGACGGAGCGATACGGAAGAGAGAGAGGGGTGTAGTGGCACGCAGACCCTGCGTGCTCCACCAGACACACACACACAGATGCAAGAAGTTACGCATGCGGTTCAACTTCCAGCTATTGATACGTCTCAAAACGTCGAGGTCGACGTCACTGTCCTCCTTTCAGTGCGAAGTTCAGCGAGGAGGCTCAGTACGAAATTGTTTGCCTCTCAATTTATGAGGTGCCAATAACTCTACATATTTTAGTAAATATTCCATGACTGAGTTTCAAAAAAAAAGAAATGATTACCAAAATAGTATTTTATTTTATTCAGCACTGAAATTTTACTTTCAACTTATATATTCTCTTACGATTATAAAATCGAAATTTTAACTTTATTGATTTTAGTCAGTAATAAGTTGTTATTTCTGAATTCTCAATAACCGGCCTCATAAACTTGCTTCACGTCTCCGATATTTCCTTTGGTGTCGAAATGCATTACTATCTGCAGCATATGCTAGCACACACACTAATGCACGACGCCGACACATGTTAAAATAAGTTTTTGTGCAACCCTACTGCGAGTACATTGAAATACCAAGAAGTTGATGCACTCAGTTTAATTAACCTTTCTACCCACAAATAGAATTGTCCTTTAGAACGAACGTCAGTTGTTCCCGCAAACCGTGAACGGTTAGTCATCTAAATTGTGGCATAAGTTAGATAAAACAATTAAATTTTTTTTTTAATTAATAACGTGACTAATATGAAGAAAGTCATATTAAGATGTTTACTAAATTTATTAAGTAGTAACTACGAGTATATTCATCTAATAAAATATGATCATAATACCTATATAAAAGAATATTTATTTACTGACATTTGAATATAATAAAATAAGAATAAATGAAATCTATGTAGGTAATTGCATGGTTCGATTAATATTTATTTGTATAATATTGTATTTTAAGTTATGTAACTTGTAATAATTGTAAGGTTTTACTTAGTTGTTTGTTACATAAGTGATTCATAAAAACTAATTAAATATTAAAGATGTGTAAATCTCTTCTTAGAGTTCCGTGGCCTAAAGACAAAAACGGAATTCTTAAAATTTCGTGATATCCGTCTGTCCGTAAATCACAGCCATTTTACACAGAGCCTATTAGAGATACATGACTGAAATTTGGTACATAGGTATATTATATATTTGGTACATAGGTATAGGGTACCGTGATTAAGTGAATTGATGAATCCTGATAATTCAGTTAAATTACGAAAAATAAAAGAAAATAGGGATGGCTCTGCATACATGCAACTACGGGTTGAAATTTTTTAATACAAAACAGAATACAATTTTCTGAGAAAAAAAAAGAAAAGTAGCACTTACAAAATATTTTTAACCAAAATTATTTTAAAGAAGGTATTGAACTTGAATAGAACGAATAAAGGAACTTTTTTTATAGACCTACTAAAACAAGATATACCTAATAATAAAAAATACTTTAAGTTAATTTAGTAGCAAAAGAAACTAGATAATTATAATTAATCAATGTCACAATCAAATGATTTAACGGCAATCAATGACGAAATTAATAGTTTTAAAACCGTTATTTCGATTACTACTCCATCTCAAACATCCCTTCAGAATATTTTTTTTCTCAGAATATTTAGTATAGAGTCGATTTCCTTACTACTTTTATTAAAGCGTACCAGTAGGCGTTACCAAATAACGTGAGGGAACAGGGAACCCGCAGTAGGCCTGCGCGTTCTCTCTCGTATTCGTCTTCTATTTACTCAATATTATAATGTGCCCGCATTAAATGAAAGCACGTAGTAATGCGCAATCAACCCGCTTTTTATTATCTACTTGTCCAATTAAAATGAAACAAAATAATATTTTAAACTCAGATCAACCATGTACTTTAATGCAGTAGTTCTGGGTAATGTGTTGTCTCTTGCAAATTTATGTATTAATTGATAATAAATTTAATTGAAAATAAATAAATAAATTATTTTCGATTAAACATATTAACTCAAACCCACACCTAGTTTTTAAAACAATACACTCATATATGAATTAGAGGTAGAGCAGTTTTTGAGAATTCTCGGCTATTTAAAAATTATTTTTCGTTGTTTTTATTTGACAGAAGAGAAAGTGTACGCATCTTACGTAGACTACATTACTATTGTTTTTTAAGTTTGTTTTTCTAATATGTATTTAGCTTTTACTTTTCGATGCAGAAAGCAGAGTCGAGTTGCTAGTTAGTGTATATGAAGGTGCATTATATTGCACTTTATATAGAAAGTGTCAAGAATAGAAATTCTATATTGCTAGACCAGTATCACCGGATACAATTTATACAGTAGTAAAAGATATTCTAGGTACCACTATTATATGAGCATACACGTATATATAGGCACCTGCCTTCTTAAGGTCAATTACCTCATAGAATATTTGAAGTAAAGTCGCCCTTTTCTAATCTATAATCAAATCTAACCTAAGACAGCATTTGGCACGCTAATTCTTAGTCACTGTCTACGCTCAATAAACAATTCAGTTGTAATTAGAATTTGTTTTTATTGCAGTTAGATAATGAGATAATGAGTGTGCATATACGAAGTGAAACACGTTTCAATATTTTTAAGGTTATCAAATGTGTCTGGCTGATAATAGTTTTATTATTATTATTCAGCCCTTTTTTTAACGTCCCACGGCTGATCACGGGCCTCCCATCAATACGAGGGGGATCAGGCTCTCCTAAGTAAAATTGTTCTGTGATCAGGCCGTAGTCCATCAGGCTGGCCAAATGCGGGTTGGCGGACTTCACATGACTTTCGACAACTTGCTAGGTTCTCTCAGTTATCCAGGTTTCCTAACGATGTTATTCCTTCACCGTAAGTCAAGTGGTAATCATGTTAGAAATGATTTTTCGTTATTGCATAGATAAAATTTATTTTACTGTAACTTTGTTCAATTAACAAACAAAATACTATAAAAAAAACTCTAAAAAGATAGGGCTCATACAAACTTTCATCTCCTATTTTTATTTTTATGGGATGAATTTCGATAAATGCTGAAACACGTATTTATTTAAATGTATTGTAGTGCATTAATACCAAGTTTCAAGTAATTCTAATCATAAATATTTTTTGAGTTGTAGTATAACGTGTTTTCCCGTGGAAACGAGATAATCTCCCGCGGTAAAAAATACCCTCGGTCACTCTCCAGCCCTACTCCACATAACTCCATAATCTCCACACAAAAATTTACGCAAACCGTCACTCCGTTTTGACGTGAAGAAGGACAAATATACAAACAAACAGACAAACAAACACACTTTCATGAAAACATCAGAGGTGCGCGATCCGGGACTTGAACCCGCTTCACTCGGTTTCCCAAGCAAGCGTGTTACCACTGGGCTACCACTGCCTTCGTTTACAGTCGATATATTTCAACCAAAATGCTTTATTTTTGTGATGTTCTTGATTCTTTGAAACAATCGCACGATAGTGAAAAGGAAGCGGATCAGTTTTCTGTTACAAGATCGCTCTACACTCTAGATCATAATATTTCAACAGCAGTGTTTAATAAACATTAAACATTTCATGAAAGATTTATGTAAGAAGAACTATTAAATTGGAGTCAGTTACGAATTTAATAATACAAATAAACAGATCAGATAATGAACTACTCAAGTCACCAAAACAATTTATTATTAGTAAAATTCATAACGTTATCATTGAATTCTTACAAAATGTTGTACGCTTGTAACTAATTTTAGATACTTTATAAATATCAGTACATTTCATGTATACAACTATACGAGTATATCTACTTACGATTTACTGGAGTTATTGTTATATAAGAAAATAATTCTAAATAAGTCGTCTAGATAGTTATGCAAGTATTATGATATAGAAAAAAAAAAACAATTTTATCTTAAGTGCAAGCGATCAACTCTACCACATAGCAATTGAACCATGTCAAATGACTCAAAAGCAGAATCACAGCACCGTGGCTAATGTAGCCTTCATTAGCTAAGATAAAAATAATCTTTTAAAATGTATCGTTTCCGGTTACAAGTTATATATCTCAATTGTATGAATAATAAAAAGAATAACGGCATTTCAAGGAAATCTTGAAACACTTCACCCAACTCCAGTAATTTCCAGAACAAGTTTTTTTTTCTGAAATTGCTAATGATTGCATGATAAGACCATTTAAGGAGAAGAATATTTTTTGAAGGAGATTAAGATGAGGAAATAAGTGTAGCTACTAGCTTATCAGATTTTTACCAATTCTAAATGAATAAGGCAATAAAATAATAAATAAAGATTTAATACATTAAAAAAGAGATTATTTAGAAACGTATTTTTACTTTTATATCTAAGTACATTCATAAAGCTATAGTGGAATTGTGAGTTTATAATTTTATACGAAGACTACTTTACATTTAGGTACTTTTTTGTTAAATTTATCTTAAAACGGAACAACAAAATTATGAGGACGACACGTGACTGAATTTGTGAATAGCTAATGACGAATCGCCACCGTAAACGCTATACTGAAGGCTTGAACTACGTTTTTACTCTTATATACATACATATATAATATATGGTTTTATTTTAAGTCACGTTCTTATAGTTATTCAAATAAGTATTTAAGCACGGTTCTATTAGATAAGACTATTAAGTGTTAACTGTTGTTAAAATATAGGTAATGAAATTTTCCTCTATGTTAGATTTTTCGAGAATATTAGTTTTGCAAAGATTGTATACGTAGAGTTATCTACATACTTTTGCGAATGTTAAATGATTCTATTATCATTTCAATAGGAGTCGTCGTGTGTATAAAATATATAATGTACATATATTAAATCCTAACGGAAAAGGCGGGCTGTGATCAAAAAACTGTTTTGAAAACTCTCAAACAAATAGGAGAATTTCATTTTATTACTTTTTAAAATTATCTTTCTATTAAAATAAACACACATTACGAAACTCTTTTCAATCGTTTAGTTTTGTTAGTATAAGCAGTGGATAGAGATAACTAATGAGTATACTTTCGTTTTGTGTTTACCAAATATACATATTAGTATAGATTGTGATTAATACCTTATTACATTTAGTCTTACTGGCACGTGTAATCAACATAAATTATGCTGTCTTATACCTTATATTGCAATGAGATATTTAGTACCTAGATTTATAGTATTTACGTACATATAAAGTAAACTTAAAGAGCCGG